GGGTGCCATGTTGTCTGCCCATTCATTCCTCTCATTTTTTTTTTTCCATGACAGGACCCCTCTGCTCCATATACCTGTGTCCTTCCTGCTTCTGAGCCTTTGCTCTTGGTGTTTCCCTGACTCGAATTTCCTGTCCCTTCTTGCCTGCCCAAATCAACATTCTTTCAAGGCCCTGCTTCAGTCATCTTTCTCACGTCTTCCTGGATGTCTCTCCGTTTACTAGATTTTATCTCCTAACGTTCTCCATTTGTCTCATGGGTATGGTGGTTCTCCAAGAGATCTTAAGCTCTTAGAGACCCTGTTTTAGGTCTTTTCTATGTGCTTTGCAGCATCTGACCCCACGTGGGTCAATCCCTTGTTGAGTGGGATTCCTAGAAATGGCGTGGGACAGCAAGCACAGGGAGCTGCTGGACCTGGCTTCCAGCTGGAGTTCTACCCCACCTTGGCTGCGTAAGTTCAGGCTGATGGAGTTTCTGCCCTTTTCCCAGATATAAAGTAGACATTCATTTATTCTTATGTGCTCAGGGACAAGGAGAGGCTCTGCTCAAACTAAAAATGAGACCCAACCCTTGTCCTTAGAGAGCTATAATTTAGTTGGGGAGATAAGATATGTAAACAAAAGATGACAATCCTTTCTGACATCCAGGCAATCCCGGGTGTACCTTTGTTCCTTTACCCCTTGTTGAGGGGAGTTTATACCTTTGACTCCTTAACTAGAATGGAAGGAGGGTGAGCTGTATCTTATTCATGGCTGAATCTCTAGCTTCTAGCCTGGTATCTGGCACACGGGGGACATTAAGTAGATATTTGAGTTTGTTGAATGAGGGAGTTGATAAACAATTGAGTGAATGTACCAGTGTCGTAGGTGCACAGAGAGAAGAGGTGCGTAGGAGGTACGTAGGAGCTACGTAGGAGGTACGTAAGTTGGTAGCAGATTTTTGAAGAAAGACTAGGAGGTTGCTGAACAGACAAGACAGGAACGGCATTCCTAGAGGAAGAAACAGCAAAGGAAGGACACCGAGATGTGAGCGCTGGGCTGGGTGAGCAGAACCTCCCAGTGTGCGCTGGCTGGAGATGGGCGTGGGGCAGGGAAGAGAGGTGAACAAAATGAGTCCATGCCCTTGTTATTCCTCAGTGGGCGGCTGGGAGCTCTGAAGATCCTGGGACCAGCATCCCACCCTAAGCTTGCTCCTGCTTACCAATCTCTTTTCCCCAGCCCCGGGCCCTGGCTTCTCATTGCCCCTTGCTCATGGGATGCAAACCTTTTACTATTAGTTGAAGTCAAGAGTTGACTGTGCTCAAGGAGCACCTGGAGATCTTATTAAAAATGCAGACTGTGATCTCATGGGTCTAAGGTGGTGCCTATGGCTCTGCATTTCTCAGGAGCTCCCACAGGATGCTGCCGATGCTGGTCCAGGGACCACGCTTTGAGAAGTGAGGCTTTAAGGCAAACGGCCTAGGGAGGCTCTCTGTAGAATTAAGATCGGGCATTCCAAAGGCAAAAGGAAACCACCTTCCTTTGGATTACTGAGAACACTGCTTCTCCCAGCAGGGTGGGTGACTGAGTGTTATCTAATAAAATATTCAGCGGTAAATGGCACCGGGTAGAAATGCCAAAAATAGGGCTTTACTCCGCCCTTAGCCCATCTTTGATATTGGTCTCTTCATTTTGCAAAACCCCTCTTTGAGTTTCAGCTTCCTTGGCTTTGCTGGCTCCCGGGGAGCAAATGGGCATTTGGAGGCCCAAGTGAGCCATGGAAGGTTCTGGGGTAGTCCTCCTCCGGCCTCACCCTGCCAGCGCATCTCACCCCTGATCTTTTGACCCTTAGTCCTGGGGGATTGAGTTGCACAAAGTCTATTCTGTTATAAATCATACACCTGGTTTCCCTTAGCCAAATTTTGGATAGAAGCAGAGGGACGTTCCTTATCTCAGATGTCCCCAGGACAGAAGTTTCTGGACCCTGCGTGAGACCCAGTGAGCTGAGTAAGCAGCTTCCCTGAGCCCCACAGTCCCCTTCAGCTGCGTTAAGGAAAAGGAGGAGGCCGGCTACGTCAAACCAAAACTCTCTGGCTGACATGTGCCTGCGGCAGCTTGGGTGGCTAAGCTGCACCCTGGGACTGGCAGCGCTGGGGCCTTGGCTGGGGCTAGCCCTCCCTCTGGGCACACCTGCGAGCCGGGCCACAGCCGGTGGTGGAGGAGGGCTGGGGCGACGGAGATGGGCCGTGGCCCCTGGAGGACTCTCTTCCCTAGGCTGCCTCTCCGACTGCCTCTCCGCTCCTTTGCTGATCTTCCTTCCTCTAGGCTGTGCGCCAGCCACAGCCAGACCTGAGTCAAGTGACGGAGTCTGTGACGATCCGGGGCACTCGGAGGCACCTCTCTACCCCTCTGCCTTCAGCAACTGCCACCCAGACCTGGCCCACATCGCTCCTTCCAGCCCAGCCCAGCTGCAGCAGCCTTCACGATGGTGTCAGCTTTCCCCCATTTCCTCTTCAAATTCATTAATTCGTTCGTTCATTCATTCCTTCTTTGGTTCGTTCACTCAGGCATGCTTCTGTGCGGCTGTCTCACCTGTGTATCGAGTGTCCGCTCTGAGCCAAACACTGCGCTGGGCTCCCATTCTGTTCCTCCACACCCGCGCTTTAGTACCTTCTTTTTGTAGCCGATGCGAAGCTCCCTTGCTTTGTCCATTCCAGTCTTCTCTTCTCCGTGTCTCTAAACAACCTGATGGGAGGTCTGGGGTCTCCTCCCCTCGGTGATAGGCAGTGTGGAATCCTGGAAGTACCCCATGTTTCACACAGACCTCAGTTTGAATCCTGGCTCTGACTCTGACCTTGACTACCTACCATACGTCATCTTGGGTGGGTTAAGTTCTGTTAGCCTCAGTTTCCCCATTTGCAATAAAAAAAAAATAGAAGAAGACATCACCTATCCCAGGGCTAGATTTCAGTTGAGATATCACATGTGAAGTACTTGGCACAGAGTTATTACACAAAAGTATCAGTTGCTCCCTCTTTAGTGCCTCAATGGCCCATCACAAGTGTGAGGCATTGCTGCGCAGGAAACTGTGTTCTACTGAAAGTTTCCCCAGAAAAGTGGGGGCCGCCTTCTGTGCTCAGGGCCACCTTGGTACTCCACCCCAAGTCCTCCTACTTGTGATATTTGCCGATTTTTTCCTTCCTTTTTCAAATGGAAAGTTTTCAAACATACACAACTGAAGAGAGAACTATGTAATGAGCCCTTTGCACCTGCCACCAGTTTCAACAATGAACAGCAACGTCCAGACTTGGGTCACCTACCTCCCCCATTTTTTTTTTCGTGGAATATCTTAAAGCAAATTCAAGTCACCCTGTCTTTTCACCCTCAACACTCCAGTGTGTATAACAGATAAAGATGTTCAAATCAAAACCACAATGAGATACCATCTCACACTGGTCAGAATGGCTAAAATTAACAACTCAGGAAACAACAGGTGTTGGTGAGGATGCAGAGAAAGGGGAACCCTCTTGAACTGTTGGTGGGAATGCAAACCGGTGCAGCTACTATGGAGAACAGTATAGAGGTTCCTCAAAAAGTTGAAAATAGAGCTACCCTACAACCCAGCAATTGCACTACTAGGTATTTATCCAAAGGATACAAACATAGCGATTTGAAGGGGCACATGCACCCCAGTGTTTATAGCAACAATGTCCACAAAAGCCATACTATGGAAGGAGCCCAGATGTCCATTGACAAAGGAATGGATCAAGAAGATGTGATGTATATACACAATGGAATATTACTCAGCCATCAGAAAGAATGAAATCTTGCCATTTGCAACGACATGGATGGAACTAGAGGGTATAATGCTAAGTGAAATAAGTCAGTCAGAGAAAGAAAAATACCGTATGTGGCATTTAAGAAAAAAGCAGATGAACATAGGGGAAGGGAAGGAAAAACAAAATAAGATGAAATCAGACAAACCATAAGAGACTCTTAGCTCTAGGGAACAAACTAGGGTTTGTTGCTGGAGGGGAATGGGGTGGGGGGATGGGGTAACTGGGTGGTGGGCATGAAGGAGGGCACGTGATGTAGGGAGCACTGGGTGTGATATGCAGCTGATGAATCACTGAACTCTACCCCAGAGACTAAAAATACAGTATATGTTAACTAAATTGAATTTAAATAAGGAATAAAAAAAACAGATTAAAAATGTTTAAGAACATAACCGTAATATTTTATCACACCCAACAAAATTAAGAATTATTCATGAATATAATTTAATACCCAACCAATATTTATTTTTTCCCAATCATCTCAAAAAATGTCTTTTTACTGTTGATTTGATTGGGTATCAGGATTCCCCAAAGGTTTGTATTACATTTGATTGTAAGATCTCTTAGGTGTTTTTACACCAGCCTGCTTTGACATGTTCTGTTTTCAGTGGTAATGGTAGAAAAATGAGGAAGTCCTTATTTCCGGAAAGTCTCCCCAACTCACTTCCCAGAGCCCTTTCCAAATAACACAAAACAAGCATCTCCTTTTTGGGGTGTTTTTAAACGACAAAAAGAGTTCCCCCCTTTACAGCAGTTTTGAAATGAATGAGCTTCTCTAACAACTTTCAAATCCCAACTATCATCCAAGAGAAGAAGAAGAAGAAGAAGAAGAAGAAGAAGAAGAAGAAGAAGAAG